ACCCCGTGAGGACGGGCACGAAATGCTGCTTGAGCGTACCCTGCCGGATGCACTTCTTCAGGACCTCAACCGATGGCTCCTTCCCGTCCAGGTACTCCATCAACACCTCTTCGTCCTCCTCCACCGCCTGCTCCACCATCTTCTCGTGCCACTCTTTGGATAGCGCCTTGAGCTCGTCCGAGACCTTGGCGCACTCGGCCACGGGCTCCACGTCGAACTGGGCCCCTAGCCCCTCGTCCCGCCAGGTGATAGCCTCCATGCGGACCAAGTCCACCACACCCAGGAAGTCGGACTCGGCACCGATGGGCAGCTGAAGCACAATTGGATTCGCGCCCAGATTCTTTTTGATCATCTCAACGCACCGGTAGAAGTTCGCCCCCATCCGATCCATCTTGTTGACGAAGCACATGCGCGGCACCTTGTACTTATTGGCCTGGCGCCAAACCGTCTCGGATTGGGGCTCCACACCGGCCACTCCATCAAAGACGGCAACAGCACCGTCCAACACGCGGAGAGAACGCTCTACCTCCAAAGTAAAATCCACGTGACCAGGCGTGTCGATGATATTGATGCGGTAGTCCTTCCAGAAGCAAGTGGTAGCGGCCGATGTGATAGTGATGCCACGCTCTTGCTCTTGCTCCATCCAATCCATGGTAGCTGCACCCTCATGGACCTCACCAATCTTGTATGATTTCCCTGTGTAGTAAAGAATTCGCTCTGTCGTAGTAGTTTTGCCGGCGTCGATGTGTGCCATGATACCGATGTTGCGATAGTCAGAAAGGGGAGTAATGCGCCCCTCCGATGCAGACTTGGCCGCTGCCGGCTTTGCTTCGGCCGTCGTGCTCATCGAAAGCATCGTCCGTCTGTTAAACAGAGACCAAAAACAGCCAAAGCATTAGATTCCTCTACAAGCGTTTGTTGCTTATGTCACAGGCTAATATGGAGCATCAAGTATGCAAGATTACTTGCACTTAGAAAAATCATCGACCAAGGCAGAAGTGCTCTATCATATATTGTTCCATGACATGTGTACTCAGGGGAAGCGGTACATTATTTCCGGCTTACCTGGCGTTGGAAGGCCCATTATATCGTGAAGAGGTGGTGGCCCGGAAGGGTGCCAGTGCGCTGGGAACAAAGGCAGCAACCGGACACGCTCCCACGAGCAAAGCCGCGACGGAAAGCAATTGCATGATCACGTCTAGAAGGTGATGTAGTATGTCATCGGAAGAAAAAGTCAGGGCGTATATATGCGCATAGAGACAAGCCTCGTACGTGGAGGTAGCCACTACACGAAAGATTGCAAGAGGATCTGATTACAGAGGAAAAGAATCCGCAAAGCACTGTCCACCGCTCCAGGGAGCGGTGAGGTTTGCAGGACACGGAATGATGACGCTACATCGTAGAGCAGCAGAGACCGCGCCCAATGGCGTCCACATCGGCCTGCGGGAAGATATCAAAGTGGTATGTGCGCTGGTGTCTCGCCACCATTTCCTTGGCGCCGAATGCGTGGACGCGAGCCAGGACGCTCGATCTTCTCAGCCGCCCCGACCGCGTAGGGCCCGGAAGTTTGACCAGCCCTTCCAGGGTAACTTGGCATTTTAAAGCATGGTTTTCTGTTTATGTAATATTTATGCCTCTATGGTTTTCTCATTCTGTCGGATGCGTAATACTGCTCCTTCTTTGTAGGCCACAGAGTGCGCAGGCCCTCCGTTAAAGATAGAAACAACAGGCGAGGAAACCAAAATAAGTTGCTTCAAATTTGGCAAAGTAGCCGATTTTATGGCTCTTTGACGTAAAAATGTTAAAAGTGGATTATTCTTCAGAAATAAGAAGCGAGGCCTTGGCACATGTCAGAAAGACGGCAATCACGATACGCGTTGACGCAACTCCCCCGACTTCCCATCCCACACGCGACGCGCAATACAACACACAGGATCAACACTAAGATTGTCATACATATATCCAGTCATAACAGATAAATCTTTGCCTCTTTCCTCTCTCGCATTCCACCCTGAAAAACGACAGGTCAAAAAAGCACACCCACGTATGTATAGAAACCTGCGCTACCCTGCTACAGAGAGAGAGCTATAGAAGGACGCTGACGACACTAAGACAGACGCGATAGCTCACGCACAAAACCAGGCATGATTCTTAATGAGCGGTGCGGCCGACAGCGCCCTTGAAGGCCTCGTCTAAGACCTCACATAGCGTTGGGTGTGTGTGCACCATCATGGCGAGCTCACTGACTGGTGTCTTGGCAGCCATTGCGTTCGCACATTCCTGAATCAGGTCCGCTGCATGCAGGCCAATAATATGCACGCCTAGAAGGTCTCCCGTATCCTTGTTGACCACGACCTTAGCGATCCCGTCCGGTTCCCCTTCGGCCAGGGCCTTGGAGTTTGCACGGAAATGTCCGATGGACTTGCCGACCTTGAATCCCTCCTTCTCGCCTTTCGCCTTGGCCTGTTCTTCGCTTAGCCCAACAAAGGCCACCTCGGGGTGCGTGAAGCAGGCAGCGGGGACTGTGTTGTGATCGACAGCGTGCTTGCGGCCTTTGATATTCTCAATCGCTGACACTCCTTGCGCAGACGCGGCATGCGCCAACATCAACTTCCCATTCGCATCCCCGATACAGTATAGATTGGGCACCACTTCGCCGCCCTCCGTCTCCGGCTTGGTCAGCACTCGCATGTTTTCGTCCACCTGAACGAACCCGCGAAAGGTCTCCACGCCCATTTCTTCGAGCCCAAGCTCCTTCGTGTTAGGCACTCGCCCCGTGGCCACCATACACGCGTCCACCTCCAGCACCTCGACCAGCTCTTTGGTCTTGGCATCGATCATCTCGATCGTTACTGGTTTTTCTCCCGGTATTCCCGGGGTCACCTTGCTTGCAAAAACACCAGTGCGGTAGTCGATGGCGCGGGGCTTGATCAGGAGGCGCTCCGCTACGCGCGCAATCTCAGGATCAAAGGTAGGCATAATGCGGTCCATGGCTTCGATGAAGGTCACCTCCGAGCCTAGGGCCGTGTACACGTCCGAAAATTCCAGGCCGATGTATCCCGACCCAATAATGGCCACGTATTCGGGCACGCGCTCCAGTCGTAAGCCCCCATCGGACGTGAAGACTGTCTTCTCGTCGCACGTGACGCCCGGCGGCACGAAAGGCAGCGAGCCTGGCGCCAGGATGATATCCTTTGCCGTAAAGACTTTTCCATCTCCCATCACTTTATGCGGACCCGCCAACACACCCTTAGCTTCGATTACCTCCACTCCTAGCGCCTTGAGGGAATTTTCAAGGTTACCCTTGACTTTATTCGCCAAATTTGCCGCGTGCGCTGCCACCGAGGCGCGGTCGTATGTAATATCGCCCTCTACAGAGATACCCAAGGCCTTCAAATGGTGCGCATCTTTCATTTCTCGCACTCGTCCCGACGCTGCCAAAAGTGCTTTGGACGGCACACACCCTCGATTAACACATGTCCCCCCCACGTCCCTGCCCGAGAAAACCGCTGTTTTGAGACCCTCTGAACGCGCATGCAGGGCCGCTCCGTGTCCTCCTACCCCGCACCCAACAATAATGACGTCATAATCAAACTGCTCTCCCATGAAGAGCGCGCCTTGTCGGTGACTGACATCCCCGGATACTTCTCGTACGCGTTGTGCCGTCGCGACATGCGCAGGGACGAAGCCTCTAGTCGCTGACATCAGGTGGGGCATGGGTTTGGGGCAAAAGAAAGCCGTAGCCCCCGTGATGGCCAGAAAAAGACAGGTCGACGACAACCGCATCGTTGCTGTGGTGTGACTGGAAGAGAATGAGACAGGAAGAAAAATTACGACAGGGAGGCCATAGATCACCCGTCCTCAAAACCACGAGGGACAGCTCGGTGTGGGCGAGGAACTCGACGCATGTTTCTTCCATGCCGGTGCATACTGGCGTGAGCCGGCCGTACAGAGCAGGCCACCGACGTTGTTGATCAGGCCATTCCGCCTCGTCTTCTCTTTCGGAGAAGGAGGGCTGCATGCGGGAGGCAGGTATGTCCTGGCGTGTAAGGTGACAAAGCTGCCCAGCTGCAGGATGCGGGCCGAGCCGCCGTACGTATGATGAGGCGAGGCGAGGGGGTGACGAGGAAGGATCATGGGCGATGGCGAGCCGCAGGATCCGGGGACCGGAATATGGGCCAAAGGAAAAGGACCGCTTCAAACTTGTCGGTGTACCATGTGGGGGTCGAAGATTTTTCTTGGTTCCGAGGTCGTCGAATCTTAAGCTGAGGATTACTTGGATGAGACAGGACCCCAAGGGAAAGCATGACGTCCAATCCCGTGGTCCGACCCCGTCTCTGCTTCTTTTAAGACGGTCTGGTCTCACCGGCCTTGCGAGCCACAAGACAACTTCGTATGTGCTTGCTTGACACGCCTTCATGTACATTTCAAGGTTCTCCCTTATTGTCGCTTTGCTCTGTGTTATGACTCTATTGACTAAGATTAAATCCTACCGTCCATGTTATCTACCCTTCCTCTCTCACAACAGCCTCTCCCGCAGTACTTTATAATTCCATTTCTTCGAGGCTCAGCTTTGAGGCTGAGGGTTTAATAGCAACCGAAAGTGCCATGACAAGATGCCTCACTAGCAGCCACAAATTCCCTGGTTGACCTCTATAACATCCCTCATTCGACCTGGAGGCGCTGTATCTGTCCGTAGTCGCCTCCTTTCGGCCCAACACATTGTCAACATTTTTTTGAGCACAATCCCTACTCCCCCTCCCTGGGATTGATTCTTCAGTATGGATGCTGGCAGGATGTTGGCGCCTTCGATGCCCCCAGAGGGCGTCGAGATATTGGAAGATCGCCACCCAAAACTACACGGTAATCCTTTTCATCTTCGTTGTGGGCGTTCCCTTCTAATAAAAAGTCAATAATGTCCCACAGCTGTCGCCTCTCTATAATTTCCGATATCTTACAACCTTTCTCCTGCACCAACCATCGCATTATGGTAACTCGACGATGTCGCGAAGCCACGCCTAAAACACTGTCCCCTCGATGCGTCAGAAGCGGCGATGCGCCATCTGCCGTCTCATACAATGGACAGCCAAGTTCATTAACAAGCCATCGAAGAAGATCAAGATTGCCGCCCTCAGCTGCACAGTGAACTGGATACTCCCGCACCGACTCGATGATGAAAGGCATCCAGATATTCAAATTTCCACTCGCAAAAAGTTCCAATGCTCGAATGCGGTCTCCTTCTTTCAAGGCACGACGGAAATTCCACGCAAGGTGATTACATGCATCACATACGCGGACTGTACTTTCATTGTTATGGTAGGTGGAGGGAAGCATGCCGCGGGGCCACCGGGACTTCGAACATTTTGGACAAACGAGCTGCCCGCAGTTTCTGCAATGCAATGGCGACCTGTACATTTTTTTCCGATACTCTAGACACATGTAACAGATGGATTCCTTAAGGGGCTCCGCCCATACGGGGGGGGCATGATTGCAACATGCAGCCAGTGCTCCTTGCTCTGTACTGTAGAACCCCATAGTGATATAGCCCGGCCGGGTACCTTGCGGGTCTGTCCAGAGACCTCTCACAAAAGGTTGCACCAAAGACACTGTTGCTTGCCAGGCGCCATTTTCACGCTGTCTGACGTGGTAATTCAGGTATTGACGGGGTACTGGGCGAATAGTGCCGAACCTGGCGCCATTGGAAGTTGAGGGCTTGCCTTTGGATGCTTCCTGCCCCGAAAGGGTCGATGACAAATCAGAAGAAAATGAAGTGCCCGTTTTTCTTCTAAGATATTGGCTTGCTAAATTTATTACTCGGGTGGTTGACCGTATCTTCTCTCGATCCGACAAGGTTGCCTGCATGCGTGCCCCACTGGTAGAAAGGACCTTTCCCAAAGTCTGTGTATTGCTGCGGACGTGAGACACGCGTTGTGGTGGCGAGTGGGAGTGTCTATAGAAAGACTTTAAATATGTAATATCTGTCGATGCTGGCGGTGCTGACGGAGGCGGAAAACTACATGGACGGCAAGCAGTAGGGGAGGAGGCTAGGGAGCTAAGGGGAGGCACCGGATGCGGTTTCTTAGAGCTTCTGTGGAAGTCTGTCAATGGCATGGAGTTTGCCGTTTGTGCTTTGAAGAAGCGGATGTTTATAAAAGTGGACTTAGATTTTAAACGAGTGTGAAATGCTTTGATGAGTATAACCTGTGCATGCGTCTTCCGTTGGCCAACTTCTGCCCAAGTTCAACGGTAGTTCAAAATTTTGAAATAAGTCGCCTTCTTGTCGGACCCCAACAAAAAGGAGAGATCAAAGACCCCTTCTCTGATTTCGATTTCGCTGAGCAGATGCACTGAATGCATATACTGCTGTGAGCTTACATTTGTTAAACATTGAGCAAGTGTAGCCTGGGGTGTGATTGGAATGTAGGGGTGGATTAGGGAAAATCCTTCCCAACATGCGCTTGGTGTGTGCTCGCCCTCATTTCACGATAGACAAAAAGGTCTTCGACATGCATGACATGGCACGCAGCTCATGATTTATGCGTGTTATATATGTACAAATTGTAAAAAAATGTCGTTAGGATTTAAACGTCTTGACTGCGTCCGTGAAAAGTTGTGGAAAAATGCCACCATATTCAATATAGAGGTAATTACTGGTCCGGTTCGTGGGTGACGGTGCCTCAAGCTGCATGCATGCGTTGTTGCGCATTAGAATCGAAGGTCTCCACCGTGTCGCTCTTCGAAGCATCAAAACTATTAAACTCCGACACTCCGAAAGTAGGAGTGCGGATGTGGCGCCCTCTTCTCATGTAAAAATCTTTATTTGCAATAGTTTGCCCACATATCCACATGTCCCGTACGACCCACAAGCACGACCAATATAAACATTAGGGTCTGCCGACCTCGGACCAAGAAGCAGCGTAGCTCAGAGGAAGAGTGTAGGGCCCATAACCCTAATGTCGTACGATCGAAACGTACCGCTGCTACTTTTGACTGCCGTTTTTTTAGAAAAGGGCCCATATAGCACATTGCCCAGGAAATTAACATCGGAACCAACACATTATTGATGCCATGTGAGAACCTACATTTTTCAGCTTACTTTCCTTCCCCCAATTCTTTTCCAATTTTTTCCTCAACCTTTTGACTATATTTCTTCGTGACGTCCGACTTCACATTAGGCCTCCACGTTTGTCGCAGGGCAGTGTATCCTCGCTTTGCACCGTCTTCCAAATCGATTCCTTCCATCGATGGTGCTTCCGGTACACTCAAACCACATCGTGCAGCTGCCAACTTCACGAGTTCTCGTTGTGGAGCCCGCTCTCCGCTCAAAACTAAGGCGATGTCCTATTGTGATATGAGGAAAGCTCCATGAAAAAAATGATGTGCATGCCCCAATATGATCCTATTCATGTAGCACCTTTTGCCTATCCAACTTTTTCAGCATAAGTGCATAATCATTTGCTTGCTGACGGCGTGCCTTCGAAGCTTCGTTATCGGAAGATTGATGCCCTTCAAGAAACTGAAGAAGAAAAGGACGGTTGTCGTGTTAATCAACGATTTTGCGGCAGAACCATATCTTTCCTACATGGCTTTGTTGAATACCTTTTCCCGAATGACAGCTTGAAACTGGCTGCTGGGCTGTGCAGCCGTTGGCCATTGCTTTAAATTCTTAAGTATCGAGCGCACGTCGCCCAGTACCTGTCATGGCGTTCAACCGTGACCAACATTATTCAGATTGCCGTATAAATGTCCAATTTCGGCCAAAAAACACATTTCCCTACCCGCTTGTCACGTAACGCTGCGGCAGGGGACGGAGGCATCAGTCCGAGGGCAACCTATCTCGAGACACGTGTGATAGATGATGACCTTCTGCTGCCTGTTGCAAGCCAGGCGTCAGCGGACCCTTGTGTATTTTCGCCTATTTACATTTATTGGAAATCAGTTACTTAAACATTCAGAGACTGATCACTACCTGTGTATGAAACAAACATTAGAGGACATGTTGGGCGGGGGGACGTGTGACTATCACGGTGGTTTGCAGGGACCCAGGCCGCGTCGCATCCGACCGCGACCCGCCGCGTTTCGCGCATTTTTTCCTCATCTTGGCCCCGGCCCGTGGCCACCGCCTGCTTCGGATGTGATGATGACCCCCCGTACTTCATCTTCCATGACGCTTTGAGCCGAATCCTTGGCACTAAACTCAGTGTATTATCACGTCCCTTAATCCCATGATATATTTAGTATGTCACGGTCGCGGTCCTGTTCCGAAGCTTCTGCGGCCTCTTCGTCATCGGCAGCAGCAGCGTCTTCGACTCACGCCCCTTCTTCGCGCGGAGGTAACCTAGAAGATGTTACAACGAAGTCCGAGCACGACGAAAATAGGCAGCGATATGATTCCGCATTGCCCTCTCCATCCCATCCAGCTTCGGTGGCCGACGGTGCTGCAAGGGAGCGAGAAGATAATGGCAAACGCCTGAGGTCACCGAGCCCTGCCGGTGGTGAAGCTTCTGGTTCCGAGGAAGCGGAAGAGGATGATGAGCCCGCCAAATTGCATGTTTCTGGTCTAACAAGAAACGTGACAGAGGAGCATCTCAACGAGATATTCGCCACATTTGGGAAGCTGTCGCGTGTGGAACTGGTACTTGACCGACGAGTGGGCTTATCGCGGGGCTTCGCCTATGTTGAGTACGATCATCGGAAGGACGCTGAGGAAGCCCAGCTGTACATGGACGGTGGTCAGCTTGACGGCGCACCTTTGAAAGTGAACTTTGTGCTTTTGGGTGGACGGCCTGGTGGTGCAGGCGGTTTCAGCGAGACTGGTCCGAAGGGTGGCATTCGGCGTTCCCGCTCTCCGAACAGGCGGAGCCGCAGCCGATCTCCTGTATCCCGTGGCGGTGGTCGAGAAAGGGACCTTTACGATCGTAATGGCGGTCCGCCGGAGAGGAGGGGCGGGGGAGCTCAATGGGAGGGGCGGCGGGGCCGGTCTCGTTCTCCGCCTCGGGGGGGTCGACACGACCGAGGTCGGTTGCCGCCAGGGCGGTTTACTATTAAATCCTACCGTCCATGTTATCTACCCTTCCTCTCTCACAAC